ATAGTGAAAACCTCAGAACCATCAGAATATTATTGTACAGTCCGTTTCATCACACGGGCTCTGACTCAGCAGCATAACAAGTGTATTTATGTGGAGAATCTTGTGAACAAAATGATGCTGGGAAGATGGCTGTAGACTCTCCAAGCTCTTGGCTTGATTGACCTGTGAGCATGAGTGAGGGAGAAAGACAGGGCAGAGTGGATAAGAGGCATCAAGAAGAGCAGAGGAGAGCGACGGAAGAGAGCATATCAACAAACTGCACTTCACTCATTTCTCCCCTCATCCAGCAGGCATCTGAAGAGCACCTCAAAAGCTCTTACCTGAAACACATGAGATGATTACACACACACACACACACACACACACACACACACACACACACACACACACACACACACACACAAACAAACAAACTTACACTCCCATGCTCTCTCTGCCTCTCCCTTTCCCCTTGCAGCATCTCTCAGTGACTCTTTGACCACATTTTCTTTTTTAATGGTTCATCTGTCAGCTGTTACAATAACTAAACTTTTGTGCTGCTTTGTATTGCCCTCTAAGCCAGCAGTTTACAATTTTTCTCCAATTCCCTGAGCCAGTGAATTGTCAACAGTTTCTTAAAACGAAGAAAACAAAACTAACAGCAGAAAAGACACAACATGTACATTTTAATATGGCAGTTTTATAAGCTTTACCCTGTTTGTAAGACTCTATTAGACAACTTTTTTTTGTTTAAAACTCTGAATTAAAAAGCTCCCTGTAGTGTTATGTAAAGGTGTTGCTAGTACCACCTAACCTACTGTAAGTCTTGACACCAAACACTACAGCTCTGTGCAGCAGACTGATTAAACAATGTAGACAATAGTAACAATAGTACTTCCCTATGAGTTTCAGGATGCAACAGATTTCACCACAATTTGAAAATTTGAAAATAGAATATTTGATGCCAAGGATAATCATCAAATAATTTAAACACATATTTATCTTCTGAAATGACAATTATTAGCATTTAAATTTAAAATTATGTCTTAACGATATTAATGGATTTAAATTTTAATGCGTCACTCCCTATTGAGTATTTATGATTGCCAGAGCTAATAGTTCAGGATACACTCCTGTAAAAATAAAAAAAATCCAACAACAGGCATCACGTCTAATCTTGCTGCGCTGAGGACTATTGTTGATGGCAGCAGGCAGCCACATAATCTCTTAATGCTTGTTGGCATGTGGAATACTGTTGTAATTCTGGCTGCTCAGTGGACTCTTTATTTTATTTATTTGGTTAATCTTCATGGAAAAAACCATCACTTACCTGTACAATTCATTAGTAATAATCTAATTTCATTCAATTTCATTTGAAAAAAAGTTTATAAAATGATGCATGATGAGGACTAATGGTGATGGCATTAATCAAGTGGTCGAAGAAGTGCTCAGATCTTTTATGTAACTAATAAAAGCAATAACACCATGTAAAAATACTTTTTTTTAAAAGTAAAGTATACAAAATATTAGTCAAGTAAAAGCACATTATTGCAAGTATTAGCAGCAAAATGTAGTTAAAGTATCAAAAGTAAAAATACTCATTATTCAGGAAAATCATGTTAGTGTAATGTTTTTATCTACGTACGTTGAGGTGGAGCTGATTTTGACTCAGTGCACATTTTAGATTCACCTATAACAATGCATTGTACTACAAAATAACTAGAAACAGCTGCCAAATAAATATGGATTAAAAATCATAGCATTTCCCTCAGAAATGTACTGCTATAGCGTTATAAAGTTGCAAAAAATGAAATAGGTAAAGAATGAGTACCGTCAACCTGTACTTAAAGTAAAGGTACTTAGTTGCATTTTGAGAGAACTAATATTTTATGCAACAGTATTTTGCAGTTAATATTCTATACTCTTAGGGGTGAGAGTAGTGAATAGTTTAGGACCAATATCAGGAAGAACTGAGTCATTTACTGAGCTGAATATCTACGTATAGAAGTGGGCAGATGATATAGTTAAGGTCTATTACAGTCGTCAGAAATGCCAAACATACATTAACACCAACAAGAAAAGTAATCACTTTTTTATGAATTCCTAAAAAGTTGACTTGTCGAGATGAAAGGTTTGCTGAAGACACTTTGATGATATGGAAATGACATTATGCATTATAAGCTTGTGTTTAAATGTTGAATGGTCTTTTAAGTGCAAATATGGGATTAAGTCAGCTTGAGGATTTTTGACATCAGCCCAGCAGTGATATTTGGCAGCTTTTTTCCCCCTATAACAATCTCATGTTGTTTGCATGAGCTGGATTTGTTTTTGGCAATATGAACCTTTGTATTTGATGCCAATGAAAGCCATTTGAACATGAGTGAGAGAGAAGGGGATGAGAGAGCGCGACACAGAAAGTGTGTTTTTGAGTGTGTGATTTTTGGACAGAACATCAAAAAACACAGCAGAGCAACAAGACAGCTTGTTCTGTTTGCATCATATCTCACACAAACACGCATACACAGCGTCTATACACTCACAAACCCTTAGCACACACATAACACGGTCGCACAAACGCAGCAAATCATTCATCCATCTTTTATGCTAGGATGCACAAAACTTCGGCATCCCTTTGTAAATTGCAGCTAATGTGTGTGAGAGAGGAAGAAGCGGGGTGAGCAAGCCTAGAATACAAAAGTAGAGAGCTAGAGTGAGTGGGAGCATAGGAAGACAGGAAGAGAGAAGCAAGTAAGAGAGAAAAAGCAAGAAAGAAAGAGGTGCTGAGATGTCAGATATTGCTCTTTCTCTAGGTCATATTTTATAACCCTCAAGAAAATTCTCTTCTATTTTTTCTGTGCTATTGTATCCCTTTTCATCATTTCCCCCATTTCTATTTTATTTATTCTCTTCTTCCTTTCCCTTCATTTCTTGTTTTTTGCTAACCACCATTATTCATCCACAGAGTTCCATTAAGACAGAGCTGGTCTAAACTGGTTTCTGTCATGTTGTCTGGTCTCATTTACATTTACATTACATTTTAGGCATGCAGCAGATGCTCCCAGCCAGAGCGAAGTCTAAAACCAATGCAAGATCCCAAATATGAGCTGGACAAAAAAATTGTCATGTGTTTTGCTTTTGTGCAGACAGAACAGATCATGCAGGTTGATGAGAAAGACATGTGAGAACTGAGGACAGTTCTGCTCATTAAATCTCTGCACTTGTTGGTTTTCATTTCCACCATGACAGTTGTTCCGCAATTTAAATTTTTGCAAAACCTTTCTTCTTCCTCTTCTTCTTTAAAAAAAAAAAAATGTTGTAGTTTTGCACACTGCATGTTTGGATTTGCTTACGTGTATTACCCAACATTTTGAAAATTCAAACGGCAGGTCTACTGACTATACTGAGATAAGGTTTATTATGAAAGCAGGCAAAGAGGAAGTGAGGCAAATATCAGGAAGAACTGAGTTATTTAGTGAGGTAAATCTCTATCTACATATAGGAGTGGGCAGCTGACGTGAAGTGAAGGTTACAGACTATTACGGTCTTCAGAAATGCCAAATATACATGCAAACTCTTGAAACGATTGGTGCTAGAGCAAACATACCTGAAATCCTTGAAAATTGTATTAGTTTGAAAAGTTGCAAAATGTGTCCTCATATAATAATATGCACACTTTTCCAGGGGTTGAAAAGTATTCAAGACCTTTACTTAATTAACATTAGCAATACCATGATGTAAAAGTAGCTGTTTAAAGTGACGCCTGCATTCAATATTTGTATTAAAAGTAAATGTAGTCATTATAGATTCTCCAGTCATTGATATATTTTTATATATTATATCTTTGGGATACTATTGCTGATGTATCTGTAAGCAGTATTTTAATGTTGTAACTTCTCAAGGAGGATGCAGTTTGAACTGGCCTACTTTGTATAGACTTGGGTAGTTTAATTTCTATAATTGTGTTCCGTATTTTGTATAAATGTTAAAAAGAAAAGTATATAATCTTGAAAATTGTAGAACAATTAAGTACATGAATAAATACTTTGTTACTTTTCTCCACTGTGAATTTTCATGTTGAGTAATCCGTCCAATGTCTCAGTGACATCTGTCAGTAAATTAGAGATCTGTTCAGGGCCAAGTAAAAGTTCAAAAGGTAGGCGCTGTTCACAGTTTTTTACACAACTGCCACTGTGAAAATTGTTTTATCTTTTGAAATGTCCAAATGTCTACTGGTAAAAATGTGTGTTTGAATTGAATGGAGCCATTGTTAATGTCATAAGTAAGACCTGTGTTTCTCCTGCTATGACAAGTGAAAATGTCTGCTCTACAAAGACCTATTCAGAAATGTTATGAATTATAGAATTTCCTTAGTTTCCAGATTTCTGTCAAATCAAATTACTGTTACTCCCTGTTTTGCCTTTAAACAAAACACACAGAGAAGATGTTTGAGACTTGTTTATTTTGTGCTGGATGATCTCCAAATTATAAAAGGCTGATCACGATAAGGGTGTCCATTGCGGCACTTTGATGAAAAACTTTTTTTTATCTTTAATCTTTTGTATTATTATTATATCTGTCAGCTAGAAAACGAAACACAAAAGGGAACAGTCTTGTTTTCATATTGATTTCTGTGTATTTTTCACGTTCCTGAGTCAGCCAAGAATATATCTATTTTAAAATTCAAAGGGTTAGCGCATGCCTTATTTTGTGAATTCTCAACAACAGTTGGGGATATTTCTCACAGTTGGAGTTATCTTAGTTGTGCTTAACCACTTCACTGTCATCATATATTGAAAAGTACTCAGGTACTTGTGACCGCAATAGCAAGAATTTACATTTTTTTGCCTCCGTCACTTTCATCTTACTATAAAAAGGATTAAAAAAGTATAAAGTTTAATGATTTACCTATCAGCATAATATGATGCCATACAAGGCTTCAACAATTACAAGATGTCCCTCAAGTGTGTGAAAATGTCCTGATCAAATTTACTGTTTACCATATAATCTTTCTTATTTTTCAGTGAGTCAAAGTGGTCTTGCTGGTGATGTTTGTCCAGATCCAGGAGTTCCAGAAAATGGCAAGAGGATGGGCTCGGCCTTCCAGTAAGTTCACTTTATTCCGGATTCAGCTGCACTCAGTCACTCATAGTCAAATAATCTATATTAAAAACATCCACAAATGCCTTGGATATTGTTGCTATCATGACCAGCACAGGGGTTGTTATTGTCTGTGCGTCAGACATGTAGAAACCAGAGTGCAGAAATGACCTCACTAAAAAGGTCTTTTCCTGCAGGGAATTACATTTGCAAGCCTGGCACAAGATATCAAATCATTTGGATGACGTGAAAAGAGGGATGCTTGCTCAATTCATGTTGTGTTGTTTTAATTCTTAAATCAAAATGGCTCAGTTGTTGCCAGCACTGGGCCCATAACTGACAGTTAATATTGAGCTTGGCTGGGGGCTGAATGAAGTTGCACACTCTCTTTGTTTGCACAGTCCATTTTACTAGGTGAGTTAGGTGCCCTTCCAACCTGCTTTGGCTTTACAAAATACTTGACGAGTGCAGTGGCGGACTAAAACTTGGCAAGCTTAGTTTAGATCTGATGACTCTTCATGTTTGACTGTTTCTGTTTGTCCAGATTATCTTAAGGGTACAGACATTGCGACTTAGTTCTTTCTTCAGTGTGTGTTTTAGTTGTCCCTTCTCTTTTCTCAACCCATGGGCATCCTTTAACTCCCAGGGCGAATGAGCATGGAACTTCCTCACCAGATTTCTCCTTCGTTTTCATACAGACAGAAGTGTTTTGTGGTTTACGTATCATCATAAATAATTAATGTCTGTTGGGGACCTGTCGTTACAGCTCTGGCTTTTTAGATGCGGGCCACCTTATGTAACTGGCTTGTAACAAACTCGAAAAACTCACATATTCACATTTGCAGTCTTTTAGAGAGGAGCTTTAGTGCTTGTCAGATCAGCTCCACACCTGCCAACCTGTGTCACCTATAGGAAAACAAATTATTAGCGGCAACCGTTTCAACCTGCAGATAGTGACATGTTGATGTTGCTGTTTTCTTTGTGTGTGTGTGTGTGTGTGTGTCTGTTTGTTTTTGTTTTGTTCACTTTTACCACTTGTTAGCCTTATAAGATAGTAAATCTAATAATAATAAAACATTGTGTAACACTCACGTCAAGTAAATATTAAATATTTAATGCTTGTGACTGAAACTAAATGTTAGATTTTACAAATACATTTATCATTTATTTCCCTTTCTAAACATGTGCACATATTCACCTGGTATACCTCACCTGGGACTATATATTCATCAGAACTGAAAACAACTGTGTGAGTGTGCAACGGCCTTTAACAGGCCTTTAGTATGTCCTTCTGAGCATATTTTTTTGTAGAAATAGTCACTGATCCAAATAAATATTTCAAAAATAGGTTATTATACACAGACTGTTTACAGACAGTGCTCAGTCCATCCACATTCTTATCTTTTCTGTATTTTCTTTCAGTTTCTTAATCCCATCATCTCTACCTTTCTCAAATTATAAATACAGTATATATATATATATATATATATATTTACAGACAGTTGAAAAAGTAACAATTTTACAATGTTAAACACACAAACAGAACAAGAAGAAATGTAGTTTTAACCTTCACTTCCTACAGGTGACACAAAAGTTGTAACTTCAGCAGCTATTCATTTCTTTTGCTACAGATTAGAGCTGCAAGAATTAACTGATTGACGGTTAGTGTTGCTTTTGTCAACGAAAATTATGACTAAATATCGTCGTCAACGAACCTTTATCACGTGACGGATACGAGACGAGACGCAACGTAAATGGTGGTCATGTGACGAAACCTATAATCAAATATATAATGCAATATTGTTGACGAATAAAAACGGGACTAAATGTGGTTTGCAAAATAAAAACTCTGCTAAAATATCTCTTCATTTTCGTTGACAAAAACGAGACGGGACGAAATGTTATAACGTTGTATTATTTTGAAATATTTCTGTTTCCTGAGTCTCGGGGCTGCATCAGCGTCGTCACTTCCTCATTCCCCACTCGCGGCATTATTTAGAAGATGCAGCTGCAGTGGGTTAACGTTAGTCACTGACACACACATTTTATTTGCACTTTTTTATTATGTTATTGTAGCTCGAGCATTCAAGCACCTTGTTTCTCTTTAAGTCAAACTTAAATGTAATGTCAATTCTTTCTGGCATTGTCATTTGAAGCTATTTTATTTATATAATTTAAATGTATGTGTGTGTACTTCTTACATGTTACATGTAAAATAAATATGTTGTAAATTCAAATCAGAGCGTCTTCCGTGTGTGGAATTGAATGTATTCTTGAGTCTCTATGGTAACAATAATATAATAATAAGATAACCTTGTTTGACTTGTGAAATGGGTGACTTAAAGAAAAATTTGGTTTTGTCTAAACTATACTAAGTACTTGTACTATATTAACTGGGTTAAATAGAATTGCATTACTAAAAAGAGACTAAAATACAATTTTCATTGACTAAAACTAGACTAAAATGTCATCAGTTTTCGTTGACTAAAACTAGACTAAAATAGTCATGGATAATTCTAACTAAAATAAGACTAAAATGCTCAGACTTTTAGTCGGCTGAAACTTGACTAGACTAAAAAGAGTATAAACGTGACTAAAACTAATACAAACTAAAATGACAGTTTGACACAAAGACTAGACAAAAACTAAAATGAAAACAGGCCGCCAAAAACAACACTACTGACAGTAGAAGGAAAATTGTAATTTATAATTGTTTCAGTAAAACAAGATATTTGAAGCTGTCACCTTGGGTTATGGGAAATTATAAAAGCCGAAGCAATTAATCGAGAAAATAATCAGGTGATAAATCAATAATGAAAATAAAAGTTAGTACATGTCGTCACCTGCAGTTCTAAACTTCTGCCGCTGTTACCTCATTTGCCAGTAGGTGGTGCAGGTCGGCCTGTAACAGTCCCAGAACTGCAAGTCTGAAAGTCATCCACAGCCAACATAAGCAGAGCCTGTTTTGCATTGTTCACTGTGTGCCCTTGATTATAGTCATTTTGAATCATCATCAGCAGCTCTTCTGTCCAGAGACATCCTGTTAACCATCAGTATTTACCAATTCACATTACTAATCACTCTACAGGATTTTATAAGGGTCCTCACTCATATAGGGGTTACACACAAAGAATGGGAAGGAATGTAGGATTTTGGCTAATAAATAAGGATTTGATGGACACAGGAATTTTTAAATTATTTACTCCATGGTGTCTGTCATCTTATCAGTAGAGAGGGAGCCATAATTTAATTTAATCGGGAGTGAGCAATTAGGAAATAATCATCTCTCCCGACTCATCCACTTAGCATCAGTGGCAGCTAAATTGTTCTTATATTTCTCTCGTCATTATTATGAGAAAATCAAAAGCGGCATCCCATTTTTACCTTAATCTGAGACTATTTTCAGGCCAAAAACTTTTTTTAACAATAACTATCTTTGAATCTCCAGCTCCTGGTGCTCTTCTTTACCATTAGCAAATATGACTGCACAAACTCTGTAGGAATATTAGTGAAGCTGTCTGGGTTGGTGAACGGTCATTACCTCCAATTGTGTTTGTGTTGTTAACGCTTCTCTGTATGTGTGCGTGCATGTTGGCATGGATGTGTTTGGTGTGTGTTACAGGTTTGTATCTAATCATCATTAAGTAACAAGAGGTAGGAGCTGGAGCAGAATTGTGGTGTGATGAGGCAAAACAGGAGAAATGGAGAGAGAACAAAATAAAAAGAATAAAAAACAGTTTTCACTGTTGGGCAGTGCAGATGTTTCAAGATGGCTGTAACTTAGTGTGTCATGGCCATTTTGATTCTCAGACAACCACGTACACAGTTGCAATGGAAAGTTCTATTTCAACGAAACAGCAATAACAACAAAGTTTTCTTTTCTGTAATTGTAAATTTCACAGTGAACGGCTGGATATAAGGTATTTTCAGTGTCATCAGCATTGCCAAAGTAGCAGAAGCTGTAAAGTGAATGACCCAACTCCGTGACAAAGGCACTAACAGAAAGATTTGGCCAGACTGTACGATTCTACAGTGTTTAACAACAGGGTGGATCCACTGAACAACCAGAACCCTACGTAGCGAATGTTTGGCCAGGTGGTAGTCTGTGGTGTGTGTCAGCAGGGAAGAGACATTAAGCTTTACAGACAAGACACCATGCAGACTTCCACTTAGATGGCTGAATGTCCCTCTCACGTGTTAGGCAGTGGGGTGTTAGAGAGAATGTGAAAACAAGAATGATCAGAACAACTTATAAAAAGAGAAGGCGAGAGGGGAGATAAAAAAGAAAGGAGAAGAGAGGAAAACAGACAATAGAAAAAAGGCACAAGTGGAGAGAAATACAAGGTCTTACCGAACGTGAGGAATTATATATCCTAATTGGATGATCTGTGTTGACGGTTGTCTACCACAGGGATCTAAAAGCCTCATTAATATCATGACCATCATTCATACATTATTTCTACAATTATCTCCTGCAAGAGCTCATTTCCCTTAAAATATAAGCAGTAATGTGAGAGGTTTCCATAAGTATCACAATATCCCCTGACTGTTACTTTGTGAAGCAGTCAGATGTAGAATCAACATTACTGTTATTAGTATATTTGACAGGTGTTTTTACTGTTGTGTCTCCTTAACTAGAGTTGGCTCCAGCGTCCAGTTCAGTTGTGACGACAGCTATGTACTACAAGGATCAAAAAGTATCACCTGTCAACGAGTAACTGACACACTGGCTGCCTGGAGTGACCACCGACCCATCTGCAGAAGTAAGTTTAACCTTTCATTCCTTCTCAAACCTGTTATGACATGTCAGGTGTGCATGCAGTTGTATAAAGTATATGCCTGTATACAGTGTATGCCTACCATAGTGATACTACAGATATTTACTATATAAGAATATACATTTATATAGTACATTTATCCTGAGACGGGGGCAAAAAGCGTTATAATGCATCACATTCGCACACATTCTCATACACATTCATACACTGATGGTGGTGAAGCCATCAGGTGCTGACCTGCTTATGTGGGATTCAGTGTTACACTCAAGCACACTTCAGGGTGCTGTTACTGTAGGAGGAGCCAGGAGTTAACCAGGCTCAATCCAGGCTCAACCCTCGTGACCCGCCCTTTCCAACTGTTATTGCTCCAGAGGTCCAATGCTTCAAAAAATTGTACCCTACCTGTAATCAGAGATCCCACCGCCATAGGTGATGTAGCACTGAAAGTAGACTTACATGTCCATTATAAAGCAGCACTATGTCACTCAAATGCATTGACTCTTGAAATACATTTTATAGTTCTTGGATAACAGCGGACGGTTTTATAACGCCGCGTCTTAATCAAAGGTATCGACTGAAATGTTTGAAGCTGTAGGTGGTTATGTTATTCTGCTAATGCAGAGGCGCTAAAAGTGTAGTATCATGGAAACAACAAATATGATTTACATTTTGTTACTTGTTGATGTCTTAAAATCACGATTCACTCTCTGACTGACTTGCTGAGTGACTAAATAAATAACTATGTGAGTGACAGTGCAACGATGCAGGGGCTCTCACTGCCCACATGTTTACTGACAATACCCTGTTGGGTTTATTGCTCCACAATGAGAAGGCAGACAGCTAACACACACACCCAACTGTGCGTGCACACGACACACACTTACATTGACAGCAAGTTTCTAAAGGACAATGTCACATACCTCATAGCCACATGCAGCAGTACTTGCCTTGAGCTCTGTGTGTGTTTGACAGACAGGCAGTCCCTGTGCTCAGACACACACTATAGGGTCCCTGTCACATTGTATTATAGTGTATTTGTGGTTGTGTGTGTGGGCCTGTTTTGTGTCTGTATGTCTGTCTGTGACTGCAGGAACCTGTCTGACTTCATGATACTGGCTACTCTTGTCAACAAGAGACAGTAGAGATCGAGAAAGAGTGAGATAGTGGGAGACATATGGATGTTATTTCCACAATAGCCTATTTGCTAAATTTCTTCAAATTATGCTTCACACGATGCAAATGGCTTTAAGCACTTCAGCATAGCTGGACTCACCTGTAGATCTTTCATTTTCAACAATGTGGTATGGAAAAGCATTCTGTAAACCCAACTTTATTTTAAATTATGTCGTAGAGGTTTTGAATAAGTTTCATTTTGTGTAGATTCTGGTGGTCCCTGTCTCTGAAAGCAGGTTTCCAGTAACTTGTTTTATCTAATTTCAAGGAGAACCCGACCGAATTCAACCTGGTTGCAGGCATTAAGAATAACTATATAGTCAGTTTGTTTATGTATGTCATATAAACATCATAGAGGCACCAGTATAACCAGTAAACTGAGACTGTTTCATAACTAGTTAAAAACTCCTTGTAGTGCATTCAAGCTAAACTAGAAAAGAATATGATTAAATTGATGCACATTTGAAGACTGCAGCAATACAGGCACTTGATGTATGCATTACATTTCGTATTCCTTCAATGAAGTGAAAAAAGAAGCAGATGCAGAAAATGTATGATATTCAAACCGTGGCCAACTTGTTTTTCTTACCTTGAAATCACAGAAGGGTACATTTTAAGGGAATATCAGAATTCAGGAGGTGAATTTTCGGTATGACACAAGCAACAACTGGAAACTGCACATTCAAGGTAATGTGTTTGACAGTGATTTATGTCTTGTGATATTTTCCACATAAATATTTGTAATTTGGAGAGAGCAAGGAAGAGAAAGAGAGAAAATAAAATAAAAGCTATCACACACGACCGAGTAGGCAGACCGAGGCTAACAATTCCTATACTGTAGCTCTGTTGTATTGTGTTATCTGGTATGATCGCTCTCCTGGGATTCAAACCCATGAGCCTCTCTCATTCTCTACTGAGACTTTAATGTTAATTAGAAGCTGGTCTCTGGGATGAATCGCCATGAATGTGTTTCTGTGTGTCCGTGTGTGTGTGTGTGTGTGTGTGTGTGTGTGTGTGTGTGTGTGTGTCCGTGTCCGTGTGTGTGTGTGTGTGTGTGTGTGTGTGTGTGTATCACGGTGTGTCTCAGCTCTCTTTTCTAATTAACAGGCAGATCAGTCATCTGAGGTCCTTCTTTCTCGTGGCATTTTCTGTTGCTCTGTCTCTTTCTTGCCTCTTGCCCTTCCTCCTGTACTTTCTTTTCTCTTCCTTTCTCACATTATTATCTTTCACCCTCTCTACTCTCTCTTTCCGTCTCTTTCTAACCTCTCTCCCTCATGTCTCTCCACTTTGTTTCTCAACCTGTCTGTATTTTCTTAACTTTATTATTTCCACCCAGTCACTCTCTAACTCCCCTCGCCCACCATTATTAGGGCCTGAGCACCGACTTCGATGCTAGGACCCTATTTGAATTGCTAGTTCTGTATTTTTCTTCTGTTCTTCTTATACCCTTTCTTGTCTCAAATATCATTGGCCTTCCCTCCCTCTAATGGCAGCAATCGCCTCCAGCTAACTCATTATGACAGATAAAGGGCAAATATATGATCAGATAAAACTTCCTCTGCAGCGTGATAGTGCTTGTTGACTAAAACTGACTGAAAATGTCAAGTAAGCCCTTTAATATTACTGTGCTCGAGAGAGGGTTTTTAGGGGGACTTTTGACACTTCACTTTTTTTTTGCCAAATATCCCTTTAAAGCAATAACACATGGGTGACGTTAGGAGGTACTGAAGACAAGAAATATCACCTTGAATATCGCACAGGACAAAATCAATATAGATAAAATAGAGCACTAGGATTATGAAAAATGCTGTTGATAACAGGGATCTGCAGGCTCTTCAGAGCAAAGATACAGATGGTTTTAGCAGCAGGGGAGGAGAGTTTGGGGGCAAATGTTTTTTAACATTTTTCCATCTATACCTGAAACATACCCATTTCTAAAGCTACGTAAGTCATATTCTTTGCATTTTTTGCCTTGCTAGCAGCATGTGCTCTGGCCAGTCTTTTGGTACATAGTGAAATATCCTACAGCTATTGGATGGGTTGCTGATCAAACATTACACTTGTCCAACACATTAGTTCATAAAAGGATGCCTCTAAAACTAATGATTGAACTCCCATAAGCCTTAATTGGTACTATGAGATTAATGATAATATGCTAACAAGCTATATGTATTATGTAGCTATACACGTGTTACCACACTGGGTTATCTTTCTTGTAACTTTGATTTTTTTATAACATTTATTTTTTACAACACATTACAGAAGTATAGAATATGGCCCAATTTTTATTTTTGTGACCTTCCACAATTTGAACATCATGAGGAAACCGTGTTTGTTGGCCAAAATATGACCATGCAATATTTGGCTTAAATTAACCCCCCTAAGATGGTTGCTTATAACATTCACCTCATTATGTAGGCAGAAAATATTTTGGTTTAAAAGCCTTTGGCTTTCTCCAACACACACATAAATCTAGATCTAAGAAATGATATGAAAGAAAAAGTTTTCATACCACAGCCAAAAGTTTTTTTTAATTGCACAGGGCTCCAGGTTTTGTCCTCATACCAAGGTATGCATTTTGATGTTTATATCCAATGCAAAAGGTTCCTGAAAGGCAGCACTCTGTTAACACTAGATTTGTGGAGCTCATGATTTGGATCCACTTTCCTAGGAAAATACATTATTCTCCCCTGTCCTCTGTGAGCATGTTGTTTTTTTAATTTTACATTATCACAATAGTGCAAGTCTAACCCCTCTTTTAGTAAATAGATAATAGGAAGTTAAAGTTCTCAGTATTGTTTCCAGTGAACCCTATGGTCTACAGTAATTTGCCCTTTCCTCTGTTGCCACCACACCCTCTCTTTCTTTTCTTTTCTTTTTTCTTCTTTCTTTTTAAGGTAAGAAGCCATTTGCAATCTGCAAGCGTAATTTTGATTACCCTGTAAATCTTTTTTAAAAACTCTATGTCGCTTTGTCTCTCTCTTTTGCTGCCTTCTTCTGTAGCTCGTACCTGTGGCAGCAACCTAAGGGGGCCCAAAGGGATCATAACTTCTCCTAACTACCCTGTTCAATATGAGAACAACGCACACTGTGTGTGGGTCATCACTGCAATGGACTCTGGGAAGGTGAGCTCGTTTTCATTATTTTATTCCCCCTTTGTTTCACCAGGCGTTACATCATATTGTATTGTCTCATGAAGTGATCTTAACATGGCGATAAATGATCTTTGAGGCAATTGAATTTTTGTGTAAGTCTACATCGTTCGACCAATTTTGCTCCAACTTTAATTTGAGTACTTCATTTGCTCTTTTATGTCAATTATTGACCAGTCTGCGTTGTCCACTTTTTAATTTAATTGGTCAATAATGTGCAATATTTGCAACTTAATGTCTAAAACACAGCCTTCAAAAGCTTATAACGGTTGTCATTTAAAATAGCTAAGATGTCAACAAAGTGATGAGGATATTATTAAATGAATTTGCTTCTACAATAGGATGGAAACTTTATCTATATTTATTTATTATCTACTCATCTATTAAAAACCTTCCTACATATTAAGAATGTGTAATTTATGTGTTTAGTTGTTTTCATTAGCCAGAAATCCCAGGTGTGAGTGTGTCTAACTGCATTCATTGCAATACAGAGCCGTGCTGTGGTAAATACAGAGTAAAAAATGCAGTGGAGAGTGACAGGAGAGACAAGAAAAGACTAGTAACTATGATACGACATACACTCTCTTATGAGGACCCCTGTTGTAGGGCTGTTGGTTTAGGCTTCCCTTTTGTTTTCCTGCTTGCTGACTGAATTCTGTTTCTATTGCTGAGCTCATGGTCACCACACCTCCCCAATATTGTGAAGGCAACTTTGTTGACTCATTGTTGTATGGACATGAATAATTCATATACCTGCGGTACAACATCTCAAGTTACTATAACTACAGTTTCTTTAGTGGTATTATCTTTTCTTCATGTCTCGTCACATATCCTGTCTTCACTTCATCTTCCCTGTCCAAGCTCCTGTACGCTGTGCAGAGAGAATGCTCTCCACTCTTTTGCTTTTCTCTCCCCCTTACCCTTTGCCTGCCTCTCATATTTTTTCCAACATCTCTGTTCTTTATTCTTACTCCTCTCTCCTCACCTCTCTTCCTCATCTACTTTGCTCAGCACTGCTCTCTTCCCATCTACTTTCTCCTTCTATCATCTTCTTTCCTCCTTTCACTTTGATTTGTCTAAAATGTTAAGTTTGAAGATGTTGAGAGTAGAGAGAGGGAAGAGCAAAAGATGGCACTGGGCTCATTGAAAACTTCAGAGAAAAAGATAGAGGGAATGTATAGAAGAGAAAAATAGGGCTGAATATTCAACTATCTACTTCATGATTTAAAAGCGAGTGCCAGGAAGAAAAGGAAAAAAAGACTGAATGTCCAAGCAGGTACTTGACATGTGACATTGAAGTTTTCTCTAAAGATGGGTGGAAATGGAATCTACTCACCTCTGAGCCTCTAAGGGAGCAGGACAGAGAAATAGTGAGGTATAATTGAGGGGGAGAAATGGGCTTTTTGTTCTAACCTCTGTGTCCTTCTGACCTTGATAGAGAGAAATGGCAACGTAAGATGACCAAGACCTAGTGTATGTCTGTGTAGATTTATCTCATTCACTTCACTATGAGACTCTTAACAACTTTGTATTTGGGAGAAGTTTGCGCTTTAAAGGTTATTTTTTCCAAATCAGCATCTGGCAGTCCTGAGTGGTCTGCATATTAAGAAATTTCTTTTGAAGTGACGTCTGCTTTGCAGCCGTTGTCACTTGTTCTTATTTGAAGTGTCTTACAAGAAATCCCAGGTTAAAGGAATTAATTGACACAGCTACATTTGTAAAAGTTTTAAATGACAAATGTACTGTATTATTAGTGATTTTGCATGGTGTCAGGTGACAGATGGGAATGCATCATTTTGTCGTGTATATGTGTGTTGCTTGGGTTTTAAAATAGAATACAATGCAATAGAGTATAATAGATTTATATAGCCTTACCTTATGACAGATGGAATGTCTGTTATCGGTTTTTTGTACTGCCTGTGCGTGCGTGCGTGTGTGTGCGCGCGCGTGTGTGTGAATTGAAAATGCTTGAGGTTTGAGAGCACTTTAAGAATGTGCTATAATGACAGATTATCAGCTACTACAGCTGCTGGCATTTGCAGAATGTCACTATCTACATACACAGAGGGAGAGACAAGGACAGAGACGAACAAGAGGATGAAGACAGTTATAGACTAGACTAGACTGGAGTAGAATAGAAAGGGAATAGAATATAATTTAAATGTATGTGAATAAAATAAAATCCAATCCATGCACAATACTGAGACAATGGTGTATTGTACAATATATACTCATTTGTTGGACAGTTGTTTTGTTTCTCTAATTTCCACTTAACTTTTATGCTCACAAAGTACATATCAATTTACTGGCCACGACTTACACTTAACTCACACTTAATGTGAGGACAGAATACCTGTTCTGTTTTGTCCAGTGGCAGTTCAAATAAAGTTATTCAAACAAGTTAGCTGCATCCTCAACAAAAGCAGAAAGGCAGCTACTCAAGTTTACTATGACTCAAAAGTAAAAAGAAGAAACAGTAGATGGCAGGAATATGCACACAATATGGTCTGTCTGTTATGCAGTGAAATTCAGTTTCATAACCCAGCACAGTCTCAAGACTATACAACTATATATATTAAGTAGAGCCAGCCTGATACAGGATTTTTAAAGGCTGATACCAATATTGATAAATGATAAATGATAATAAAAAATATATGACATATCGGCTAATACTACCCATACCATAGATAAACACTTTTGATGTGTAACAACTATGTGGGATATCAGACCGAACTATAAGACAGATGACTAAAATTTCTGACACACCAGAAGAGCCAGGTCAGTAACTGTTCAGGAAATCTGTGTCTTAGCCGCACAGTTCAGAGAGGTTTTCCAATGTCAGGAAAATAGCTACAAAATTTCAGGAGCTTTACCCTTAATGTTTCTTAACAAACTTTGCCTTGATCCTATAGACTATTTTATTTTTATTTGGGTGTCTTAAAAGCTAAATACTTCAATTAAATAAACAATAAAAATAAGGTTAATCTGACTATTTTCTCAGTACTTAGAAGTCCGCAATATTTTAATTACTTAGTATTTTTATCTTAATGGCCTCAGCTGAGCCTAATTTCTAAAGCTGTAAAGTGTCCCTAGCATGGATGGCTAGATTTATTTTTATTTTTATTAGCAATCAACTCTTTGTGTAGACACCTTGCTTATAGGCCGCTAAAATGTTTTTTGTTAACCACCTTCCCAAGCACATCTTCCTTGAGTAGAAGACATATGTACTCCTGCTTGAACATTGATCTTTAATCATGCTTTAATTTGTGTATGCAGGGAGTGAGACAGATGATTAAACACACCACTTAAAATCCTAGGTGTATGCTCCCCAGAAAAAAGTTATACAGTATGTGCTTTTTGTGAACAAAGTGCAGAGAGATTTAGGGAGAGAAAAAGATACTTAAAGAGAGAAAATAAACATGAATTAAGATGAATAACAGTAATCTTTCTGTAGACCTTTCTTATTTGGCTTTGCATTTCTCTGATTTCATCTCAGACTCTGCTCTCTTTGTCTCCTCTCCTCTTCTGCTTTATTCCATCTCTCCTTTGCACAGTCTCTGACGTACCATTATTCCAGTTGACTTCTTAAATCAATAACATGTTATACAAAATTGAGACAGAGACAAATGTTTTTATAGAATTGTGTGCACCTTTATGTTCCTTCTTTGTGTAGTTTTATGCGCACAAGTCTCAATAGCCAATAAGTAATTCTGGCTGGTTGTGTGTCTGTTGTCATTCTGTTAAGTTCTGAATAAAAGCAGCACAATCAATATAGTTTGTAATGGTCTGACAGCCTGTCGACAAAATGCTGTGAGTGTGCTTCTATTTGTGTGTGTGTGCCTGTGCTATTATTTGTGTAAGTGTGTGCAAAGGCATCTGGTTATGTGTGATTTTATGAATGTTGACTCCGTGTTTTCTGTCTGCCAACTTAATTGCTAACTGCCAGAGGTTGGGAAAAATATGTTGTAGGGTAAACTGTCAACATTCAGGTTGTAGTGAGGAAAAACTCGGTTGCATAGCAGAAAAAAAGGACCGGCAGTATGTGTGTGTGTGTGTGTGTGTGTCAGTCATTTTATTCATCAGTATCAAGCAGATAATTATTTTGTTCAAGTTTGAACCATGCCTGACTGCTCACACACATACATCCTGAAACGCATCGTCACACATGCCCATTAGGCCTCTAATCATTGCTGTCTTTTTCTGATGAATACATATTAGTGTCTGTGTGTGTGTCTGTGTGTCTGTGTGTGTGTGTCTGTGTGTGTGTGTGTGTGTGTGTGTGTGTGTGTGTGTGTGTGTGTGTGTGTGTGTGTGTGTGTGTGTCTGTGTGTGTGTGTGTGTGTGTGTATGGTATGGTATTGGATGTTGGGTCATTTTCATGCATGGATTATCATCATCATCACTTTAGTGTTGGCAGGACACATTCTGTGACATTCTATCAGATGTATTAAATTGTTAAATTTTACTTGATACAGAAATTGAGGCCAATAAAGACCAATAAAGGCCTTAGCCAATATGTCAATGTCCTGTCTGATTCTACAACAGAGCACTGTTTTGCAACATGACTACACAATTGCTCAAGCTGTTATATGATGAAGACACAATATCCAATGCCCACTGCATTATCATAATTATTCATGTAACAATAAAGTATGTGTCACAAATTCTAAGTTTTTTTTTGTAGCTCTGGCCATTGGCTCTATGCATGATGCCGTTTTTTTAGGAATAATTCTGCAATGTTGCTAAAAATAGGCTCAACGAGGCAAAAAGCTCTTTTACACAGCAAGCAAGCCAACAGTTTTGACTGATTAGTGTCCAACTTATTTGGAGGTAAAACCAAGGTCCATCTGCTGACTGTAATGGGATGTTACGACAGACAGCTTGGGTCATAATTTTACCTTTCAATTAATTTTCTCTTCCAAATAACTTGACTTGCCTAGGGGTTTGTTTACAACCTTTGTGATCATATGGCT